CGAATCCATGGCCAAGAGTACGCCCAGAAGCCCGAGAATCAGATGGACTATCTGTTACGGGAAGTGAAGTTTTTTGCGTTAGTGGAGGACATGTTTATAATAGTGTTTTTCTACTTCACGGCCGACGCGCCCGATTGTATTGATAAACGTGACATTCTGGTTAGTATTTTGATCTTGTTACTTTTTTATTCCAATATATTACATTGTTTTTAATTTTATTTGTGACCAGAAAAAGGCGAATAAGTTTTACGGTTGGTGGCTTGAGCGCCGGCAACAGTTTGAACATGATGGCATTACACCCATACCCCGCTATTAGACATAATTTGTTTATAAAATATTTAAAATTAATTCAATTCACATTTTTTATAATCACAATTTTAAAAATGTTGTTATTTAAATGCAACTAAATTGTATTTATTATATGCAAAATTTTATTTGTGTTAGAGTATATTTTGTAAATAAAAGTTTAGACAATCTAGTTGTAGTAATAGTTAGAATTAAAAAAAATGCTAGTTGTTTTATTTTATAATTTAATAAACAAATAATTTATTTTATACCCTGATAGATGTGTTTTTGATATACTCTATTTTTAAATAAAGTAATTTTTGTATTACTTTATGTTTAGTACAATCATTATTACAAAAATCTATGGAAATTATTGTACCTATTTTATTGGTACAAATTGATTGAAATTGATTAAATTAATGTTGTCATATTGTTTAATATTTATTTACTATTTTAAACCATCATTTTAACAAATATAATATTATGTAGGCATTTACATATTTAATATACAATTTGTAAATGTTATACTGCATAAGATATACAGTACATGTTTAAATGTTATAATTGAATACGTAAAACTTATCAATAATAATGCAATAATGTACCACAAACACAAACGTTAACGCATAATCATCATCATGAAATTGTAATACCAGGGATAATACTAATTATTCAGATTTACCTTTTAAATCAATACCATTTTACCATAATTAACTTCAAATTAATAATCCAGGATTAACTACTTCAAGAAATATGAAGATATTTATAAATTTGTTTAAAAATTTAAAATCATGTTTAGCATTTTAAGTAAATAATAATTTATAAGACCAATGTTGGTAATACAGGAATAATCAAATAAATCATAGCCTTGAGTCCGTTGAGTACATGCATTGATTACATTGAGAAGTACATAAGTATAAAAATGTATAGCATTGACTGAAATTTCCCATAAGTTGTTATATTTATTAAAACCATATTATTATTAAAACAATTTTTATTTTACATTAATTTCAAACACAAATGACAGATATATTCAGAGGAGAGACACCCGAAGACATTAACAACAAATGTCTGGACGTTTGTCACCGATATTTGGACGGCGTTTGGAGGGATATAACTGTGGATCAGATGGTTGTGCGAAGAGTTGGCGGCGGATATACTAATCTGTTGTTTCAATGCTCTCTAAGGGATGATATAAATGTGGTCTCCAGTGAACCAAAAGATGTGTTCATTAGGTTTTATGGCAAGAAATGGGTTAAGGATAACAACGAATCCAACGAAAGATTGACTGATATTATCATCAATTTATTGACTTCTGAACACAATTTGGGGCCAAAAGTGTACGGAATGTTCAGCGAAGGCATTGTTGGCGAATATATCGATGTATGTAATCATACCTTATAATTGTAATGTAATTAATTTTAATATAAAACTAATTCAAATTTGTTTGCCATTGGATAAAAGGGTCATCACATGAGCCCTGAGGATCAGTTAAATCCGGCGATTGTCAAAGAATTTGCTCAAAAATTAGCAAAATTTCATTCACTAAATGTGCCGATAGGTCGCGATTATGATTGGCTAAAAACAACGTTTAATAGATGGTACGATGGCGCACATCTTAAGACACCACATATGGATCAACTGCTCAACGAGATTGAGACCAACAATCTGTTGAAATATAATCTAAAAGAGGAGAACGAATGGCTGCACAAATGCATGGATGCCATGAAATCGCCAATAGTTTACTCACATAACGATATATTTACGGGAAATATATTAGTTAACAATCGGATTAATGAGACCAATGATGATAATAATGTGGTGTTAATTGATTTTGAATATTCCCGACATTTTTATCGCGGATTGGATTTGGGTTTCTTTGTGAATGAGTTCGGGAGAGACAGCAATTTCTTCATCCGCGAAGACCTGCCTCTGGCCGACGATCAGTGGATCCAAACATTTTTGGGCCACTATTTGGACGAATCGGTGAAAATTCGGGGCAAAGAGTTCGCCGAAAGACCCGAAAATTCAATGGATGTTCTCTTAAAGGAAACAAAATTCTTTACATTAGTTATGGAAATATATCTGATTTTCCCATTTTATGCCATTAATGAAACCCCCGATTGTAACGATAGGCGAGAGATTTTGGTCAGTATTTGTATGTTTTATATTTAATATTTAATTAATTGTTTTATTGTTGACTATAGAGAAGAGCGAACACGTATTACGGCCGGTATATTAAGCGTCGGAACGAGTTTGAAAAGTTAGGAATTACACCATTACCTCGATATTAATAATTACTAAATAATGTAAAATTATTTTAATTAATTTTTGTACTAACGACTATTAGTTAATACAAATTCTATTTGGGAATAAAATATTGAAACATGGTTTTATTTATATTATTTTAGTTTATTGCTATTGTAATAAGAATATTTTTTTAAAAAGTTTTTATAAATGCCATTTACAATATTATCATTTAATTAAATTTAATTTTTAGTTAAATTGCAATAATAATTATACAAAATTTTATATAATGATAAATAATCACATTTTATATTTACAGTGACCTTGTTATTTTATAATCAATTTATTTGATAATTAAAGAATGCTGAATACTGTAAATGTAATATTAAATATGTTAAATGCAAACAAAATTATTATCGTTAAATTATTATAATACTACGGGGTATTCAGTCTACCATTAAACCAATGAAACGGATTAATATAATAATATTAATATTATCTCTCAATTTTTTTAGTCCATTTTAATAACTCAAAATTTTTAGCCTTGATGTAGAGACTAGTTAAAATAAATTGAATTGGTCAATAATGTATCAAAGTTTTAGATATATGTTTTAGGTATCAAATTTAACGTAGGTATTATTATTATTAAATATTAAATTTTTAAATCAAGATAAGTGTTGGTAATCTTTGTATATAAAAAGACAGTGTATACTGTTGTAAGTAATGTACCAAAATTTCTCACAAGTTTTATCAATAAATATATATCTCGAAAGTAAACTTTATTTTTATTTCACAATAACTTTAAACTCAACACAAATGACAGATATATACAGAGGAGAGACACCCGAAGACATTGAAATTAAATGTCTGGACGTTTGCCACCGTTTTTTGGACGGCATTTGGCCGAAGATAACTGTGGATCAGATGGTTGTCCAGAGAGTTAGCGGCGGATATACTAATCAATTGTTTCGGTGCTCTCTAAGACATGATATAAATGTGGTCTCCAGTGAACCAAAGGATGTGTTCATTAGATTTTATGGCAAGAAATGGGTTAAAGATAACAACGAATCCAACGAAAGATTGACTGATATTATCATCAATTTATTGACTTCTGAACACAATTTGGGGCCAAAAGTGTACGGAATGTTCAGCGAAGGCATTGTTGGTGCAAGAAATGGGTTAAAGATAACAACGAATCCAACGAAAGATTGACTGATATTATCATCAATTTATTGACTTCTGAACACAATTTGGGACCAAAAGTGTACGGAATGTTCAGCGAAGGCATTGTTGGCGAATATATTGATGTAATTTTTATTTAATACATTATATTTATTTGCAATTAATCTAATACTTTATATTGGATTTAAAGGGACATCACATTAGTTCAGAAGACCAGTTAAATCCATTGATTGTCAAAGAATTTGCTCAAAAATTGGCAAAATTTCATTCACTGAATGTCCCGACGGCTCGCGATTATGATCGACACAAGACATCGTTTTATACATTTTATAATAAGGCTCACAAAGACATACCAGATATGGATGAACTAATCCAAGAGATTGACGCCAAGAATCTCATGAAATATGATTTCAAAGAGGAAAACGAATGGTTACACAAATGTATTGATGCCATGAAATCACCGATAGTTTACTCACATAACGATATATTTAACGGAAATATATTGGTTAACAATCGGATCAATGAGAACAGCGATAATAACGTTATGTTAATTGATTTTGAATATTCCCGACACTTTTACCGTGGTCATGATTTGGGATTTTTTATCAATGAGTTCGGGAGAGACAGCAATTTCTTTGATCGCAAAGACCTACCTCTGGCCGACAATCAGTGGATCCAAACATTTTTGGGCCACTATTTGGACGAATCGGTGAAAATTCGGGGCAAAGAGTTCGCCGAAAGACCCGAGAATTCAATGAATATTCTCATAAAAGAAGCGAAATTTTTTACATTAATTCAAGAAATGACTTGTATTTTCCTCTTGCATTGCAGTAATGATTCGCCCGATTGTGTCGATAAGAGGGATATTTTAGTCAGTATTTGTGTTTTATATGAATTAAATTAATTTTATTATTTATTGTTTATTATAGAGAAAAGTGGACACTTATTACGGCCGATATATTAAGCGCCGACAACTGTTTGAAATGCAAGGCATTACACCCATCCCTCGCTATTGATATAAACTTTACATAATATTATCTAGTTAACTTATAATTACGTAAATCTTAATTAAATAAGTTAATGTTTTGTTTGTAATCATTTTATTAATAAATTTGTAAGCGCAGTCGCAGTACAAAAAGCACACCGAATTCTCTCTCCCACTCGCTATCCGTTTCCACCCTTTAGTCGTTCGCCTGCCGTCGAGACGAACACTACATAACGACTCGCTTTCGTTATTTTTCCGTACATTTCGTGTATTTTCGATTTAAACGTTAA